CCGGGCTGGGGATTCAAAACCGCCACCTTAGGTGTATGTGGCTGGCGCCTTAGCCGCTTGAGCCACAGGCGACGAGCCTCAGTAGGCTCTTAATGCTCATTTCTGGAGGTTTTGGAGAGGCTGACCCCACAGATCCCAGTTCTTCCTCCGTATTACCCCTTATGTCATTCATTGCTCCTGCAGGCGCTCTTCAGATGCTATAGCAAAGCACCATCAATTTGGGTGGCTTATAAACAGAAATTTCTCACCGTTCTCGAGGATAGAAATTTGAGGTCTGGGTATCAGCATGGTCAAGTTCTGGTGAGAGCACTATTCTGAGTTCTTGCTGTCCTCCCATGATAAAGTGTGAGCGGGTTCTCCAGGGACCCATTTCTTTTTTCTTTTTGGAGACAGAGTCTACTTTGTTGTCGCCAGTAGAGTGCCATGGTGCTATAGTCCACAGCAACTTCAAATTCCTGGGCTCAAGCAATTCTCCTGCCTCAACCTCCTGAGTAGCTGGGACTGCAGGCACCCGCCAAAATGCCCAGCTATTTTTAGAGACAGGGTCTTGCTCTTGCTCAGGCTGGTCTCAAACTCCTAAGCTGAGGCGATCTACCTGCCTCAGCCTCCCAGAGTGCTAGGATTACAGGCCTGAGCCACCGCACCCGACCTTTGGGGGTCCCACTTTTAAGAGCACCAATCCCATTCATGAAGGCACCACCACCATGACCTAATTATATCCCCACAGTTCTACCTACCGACAATCATTAACTTGGGGGTGAGGATTTCAACACATCAATTGGGTGGAACTAATTGCTAGATACACGTGGAAGGGCTCACCCACTGCTAGCATAGGACACGTTTATTTAGCATTTATTCCCACTTATTCTGAGATACCAGCTCCCTGGCCTGGGGCCATCTCTCTTGATGGGAACTGAGAGTGGCACCAACAGGTAAAACATCTAGAAAGCAGAATCCAGTATGTTTGGGTCAGGAGCCATGACCTCTGTTTCTTCTTACTCTCCAGGTTTGCTCCAAAGCCAAAGCCAGCGTCGTGGGGGTGCTTATCTACGGTCTCACCCACAAGGCTGCCCACCTGGCTGGTATCAAGGGTAATCTCAAAAGACTCTAACCGGCCAACTTAACTCCAGCCAGGCACACAGCAATCCAGTTCAATGGGAAGGGAAACCCCGGGCACAGCCACTGGGAAACAGGCTATTGCAACCCTCACCCCACCAGAAAAATGCCAGGGCTCACCAGAGAAAATCCTTCTCATGCCTGTCACTCAGAATGACTGATTTTGTTCAATGTGGCATTATACACAATGCTCTTCCAAGTCCCCAGAAATGTCAAAGAATGAAAGAATGATTAATAAAAGGGCATCTACACAAGAAAGCACTCACTGAACACATAGGAAATGTTTACCAGGTTACCTGAAAAAACAAAGTAACAAAAGAAAATCCCTTTGGCAGCTACATGGAATGGATACCCATGAGCAGAGGACAGACATACTGCCAGTGGGGTCTCCATTGCTTCATGTGAAAAGTGGCTGCCTGTCCAGAACGACAAATCAGAGCACTGTCTGATTGGCTAAAGTTTATTCAACATGAGAACTCTGCCCTTAGAATAAATAAAACAGAGGAGTAAAAAGAACAGGAACTTCTTGAGAAGGGCAAAGAAACTGCAAAGCTGATCATAAGCACCAACTCCTGGATCCTATATATATGCTTTGGGTTCTCAGAAACACTTGCGTCTGCCCTGGGCTGTGGGGGGGACTGCATAGCAGGGGGCCAGTGGCCACACCAGCTCCCATGGGATGTGCACAGCCTTTGGTGAGGCCAAAGTGGAGCTGGTGACACACTCAGAAAGGCTTTAGAAACATAAGTTGGGTTTACAGGTGTCATTTCTGAGCCCTACTCCGACTTCCAGGCCCCACAGATCTGCCTAATGTGAATCTCTTCACTGGAGGCAATTTCTAGAAGGCCCTTTATTTAGGGACTAATCTGCACAGTTCCCCTATGCAAGACTGACTGCTGTCTCCTATTCTTTTGAAGTGACCACATCCAGGGCGGTGCCAGGCTCTTACCAGCCTTTTTCTTTCATGAGACCGTAAGTGGACTTGGAGCTGTCTCAGCAACTTCATGGAGGTGAGAGCATGAGGCTTCCTGGTGACTGGCCAGGCTGTAGCTCAAGATTGCCAGGATAGCAGAGCCTGGGCAGGCCCTAGATACTGAATGTTCCCCATAGGGCTTGCAAAGCTCCTGGAACCTCAAGCCAGAGCCTGAGACCACAGAGCTTCCCACACAGTTTACTGGAGTGCTGGAATTCAGGTTTTCCCATGCACATTCAGAAAGGCACTGTGCATTCCTCCGGAGGCTCAAAGGACACATTCCCTCCTCCTAAGTCCTCCAAATGACCAAAATGGCCAGAAGCCAGGAGAAGAGGCCAGAGAAGTAAAGGGACTCCTCAAAGGGGGTTCTAGTCATTGGGGAGCCAGGGCATCCCCAAGCCCTCCTTTCGACTGGCAAATGGTCATAGGGATTGGGCTGCTTGACAGAGGTGAGAAGAGGGGCCGCAGCGTCCCTGAGAAAGGGGTCTCGGGGAAGATGAAGAGCAGTGACCCATCAGTGGCACTGTAGAAGGACAGGTGTCCTGCTTCATAGTCCAGAAAGATCCCCACACGCCTTGGTGGGTCCCGCAGTGGGGAGAAGCCCCGCTCCGGGGAGTTGTAATAGCTCCCTAGGAAGACCAGGATCCAGAAGCCGTTGCCAGTGCACAGCTCCCCCTTCTCCTTTCTGTTGACGTCCTCCCTGCACACACCCAGGGCCCAGCTGGTGCGGTCCCCGACCTCCACCTCCCAATAGTGGCGCCCGGAACTAAAGCGTTCCTGGCCCAGCACACAGGGGCCAGGGTCAAAGCGCTCTGGGCTGTCAGGCAGGGCCTGGCGCAGGTCACTCCTCTGTACACTCCTCCGGTCTTCGGACAGGATCAGCTCAGGATTGGCAGTGTCTGGGTCCAGGGTCACATCCCCTGTGGAAAGAAGCCCAGAGAGGCCAATGGGACATGGTGCCCACCTGCCCATTCAGGCCCATTGGTAGAATCCTCCCTGCCTGCCTGACAAGCTATTTGCCTGAGGCTTGTCCACCCTCTTGTGCCCTTGCACGGACTGCAGCCGCTGGACAAACATCACCTAACCACTTCTAGCTACGAATCAGAACATTCCAGAAATTGGCCCAGGCTTCACCTTCAGGAGACAGGAGGAAATCTGGGTTTTGCTTTCTACCTTCCTTCTTTCTTTCAGTTCCAAAATGAAGTCTGCGAGTTCACACTGGGCTTCACTGGGCCCTATCCAACACAGAGACCCTCGCTTGAGGAAAGAAGGGGCAACTGTCTCAGCCCCAACCATGCCTAGTCCCTCATCTACCTTCTCTGGGGCCTGCAATCCAGGTCCTACACACAGACTCTAGGGCTGCCAATAAGAGTCCCAAGGATAGCATCTCCTCTGGTTAACTGATACAGTAAGAAATACATTTGTTTTTTGTCCTGTTCCTGGATCTGTGGAATTTCCTAAGTGATAGGAGCATCTTTTGTTATCCTGAAGTGACTCAGGGGAGCTAGTCACAGAAAGACTGACCATGCTCAGAGGGGCTCAAGGTTCTGCCCATTCACCAGTGACCAATGATTTAATCAATCCAGCCCAAGCAATGGAACCTAAGAATGCTGCAATGATGGGGTTTGGGGAAGTTTCTGGAATGGTGCACATGTCTAGGTGCTGGGAGGGCGGTGTACCCAGAGAGGGCACTGAAGATTCATGTTCCTTCTCCATACTTTGCCCTGCATGTCTCTTCCATTTAGTTGTTCCTGAGTTCTATCCTTTATTATTTATTTTACTTTTATAGAGATAAGGTCTTATTCTGTCACTCAGGGTGGAGTGCAGAGGTGTCATGCAGCTTTGAACTCCCAGCCTCAAGCAATCCTCCCACCTCAGCCTTGGAGGTGCTAGAACTATAGGTGAACCCCACCACACCCAGCGTTGAGTTGTATCCTTAGCAATAAACTACTAATAGTTTCCTAAGTTCTATGAGCTGCCTCAGTAAATGATTGAAGCTGGAAAGGGGGTCATGGTAACTCCCAATTTATAGCCAGTTGGACACGGGTATGGGTAACCCCTATTAGCTGTAAATGGCCTTTAAACTGGGGGCAGTCTTGCAGGACTGAGCCCTTAATCTGTGGGGTTTGACCCAATTCTGGGTAGTAAGTGTCACAGCTGAGCTGAGGCTGGATGTGGTAGTCAAGGTATGTAGTCTTAGCACTTTGGGAGTCTGAGGTAGGAGGATCACCTGAGCTTAGGAGTTTAAGGCTACAGTTTGCTGCAACTGCACCACTGTACTCCAGCCTGAGTGACAGAGGGAAACTGATCAAAAAAGAATTGAACTGAATCATTAAGATACCCATTGACATTAAAAAGTCAGACAAATGTTTTGGTGTGGGCATATCCACACAATTTGTGTCAGACATTATGAGCAGAGGGCATCTTCCTGAAGATCTACTATCCCGACACTGCTGAGTCTGGAGACAGTGGCCATACCACACAGAAAATGCCACTGGCTACTTAGGGTTCTTGGTGGGTCCCCTCCCAGGGTCATCCTTTAACCTGGAGCCTCCACACCCACCTCGAAACCTCTGCAGAGTCTCCACCAGCCCTGGAACCCTGCACACAGTCCTCAGCTCCATGGGTACCACTTCTGGTGGCTGCAGTTTCACATCCTGGATCCTGGAAGGGACAGCCCTGGCATTATCCCAGTAGCAGCATTACCCCTGTGTCCAAATGCTGAGACCTTGCCCCAAACCCCACCCACCTGCCCAAGGGCTTTTACCTGTGCAGGGCATCCTTGATGTCCTGTGGTAGAGAGAGAAAAAAAAACACCAGTATCAAACACTTGTCACCCAATCCTGGGGACCCTGCCCCTTCTCTCCCAGCCATTGCAGTCCCAGGTGGCAGGTATAAAAATGTCTGTGGTTCAAGCTGCTTTCTCTGAGGTACTGTTTACAGATCCCTCCTGCCTTTGTTTTCCCTGCTTTGTCTTATCTCTTAGAACATTCTTCTGCACACAGCAGGGATCCAACAACCTACACTGTCCAGTGAAAGGCTCCCACAACCTGCTTGTTCTCACCCACTCTGCGCTGGCTACTGGGCTGGGACGCAGAGAGAAATAAGACACCATCCTGAACAAAGGGCTTCCCCACAGGCAGGAGGTATGGCAAGGGAAAACACTCATGGGTACACATAGTTAATGCTGTCTGGGGTTTGAGGGACAATAGGACACACTAAGCCTCAAAAGCCACCAAAAATGGGGAGATTCTTGGCAGGGTTACGAAGCCTGGGGAATTCACTAGCAGATAGCGGGGAGCAGTGGATGTTGGGGAAAGACATGCCAAGGGCGTGGGGCATGTGGAGCCTAATGAGAGCAAAGTAGGTGGAAACAGCCCTCCTATAGCTGTTAGTTCAGCTGTGGTACAGAAAGGCGAGCCAGTCATGTGAAATGCAGGCAGCATGTCTGAGACCACCCCCCCCCCGCAACATTCCAGCTGAGACCCCAAATCACATCTTCATGCAGACCCTGAAAGGGGGACCCCATTTCTGGGTCAATGCTTCTTCTACACCCTTCCTGACTTTTCTGACATCACTCCCTTTCTACCCTCCTCCCTCTGCCAAGTGTCCTTCTCATTTCCAAGCTTAAAACCAGCTGGCAGCTTGGCCAAGCCCAAAGGGTAAAAATCCAAGTCCCAGGACAGCAGCCAGGAGCCTATTCCTGGTCCCTGAATGGCTCTGAATCCAGCAGGTGTATCACTTCTTGCCAGAGGCCCTCTGGCTATGCCTGGGCCTGGCACCCCGACCCACCAGGGGCTGTATTTGGTCACAAGTGGCCTCTCTACTGCACAAGAGCCAGAGCCAGCCAGGGGACCCATTTCTGCCTACATCGCTGAGTCTCTGTGTCTATACTGTGCCAAACATTGTATTGGTGGGACAAAAAGGAAGATGGACCTCAAGAAAGGACACAGCAGTCACCCTCAGCCTGTGTCCCCACTGAAACCCACCTGACAAGTAGAGAGGCCAGGTCACAGAGTTCCAGCAGAATGGCTAGCTCTAGAACTGACAGCCATGCGCCAGGGTTACCTGGCCTGCTGCCAGGCCAAAGGCATGGGCACCCCACGGAGAGGCAGTTCTAAGGGGAAGAGACGTTAGAGCTGAAAGCACCTCAGGATGGTGACATTAGGTGTGACGTCCTGCTGGGGCAGGAGTCCTATGGGAGATACAGGGAGGTACAGGCAAGGGTGGGTGAGCCAGAGGCTGTCTAAAGCAGACATCACCAGATGGCTTTCCTAGGGCCCAACGTACCCACTTCCACTGGGTAGGCCCAGTAGACATCCACTCTTTGCTGTCACAGCCTCAGTTAGACTGAGAGAATGGGATGATGAAAATGGTGCCAACTCATGTGAGTATTCAAGAGACACCACCTATTTAGGTCTTGGAGAAAAACCAATTTTCCTTTCCTGGGCACATGAGTTTCAGGTGGTAGAATGGCTGTCAGCTTCTGGCATCTCATGGGCTGGAGAGGGGCAGGTCCAACCCCTATCACCCAAGGCTGAGAGCCCCTGTGACCTCTACCCCATGCTTACTTATCTCCAGCCCCCTCTGCCTCGCTGGCTTCCCACTCACCTGCAGCAGCCCCAGTGCAGGCAGCTGGCAGCGGCCCTCAAGTTCAGTGATGAGCTCAGCCAGGTGGGCGCTCTGCTGGCCCAGGCGGGCTGCACCCTCCCGCAGCCGGGGCAACACCTCTAGCTCTTCCTCCTCCAGCTTCTGTAGCAGCCTCCGCTCTTCCTCAGCCAGCAGACGGCGCAGACGCTCGAACTCACCCAGCATGTTCTGCCGCTGGCTCTCTACCATCTTCTGTAGGCACCATAAGGTGGGGGGGACAGCTGAGGTCCAGGCCCTTGAACCACCACCCAGGGCTGGCAGGACCCCATATCCCTCCTAGGGCTGGCCAAGCAAACCTCAAACCCATCACCCAGGGTCAGCTGGACCCCAAACTTACCACCCACAGTCCTTCCTAATCTCCAAATTGGCGTGCCCTGGTTGTGCCCATATCCCAAATCGGTATACCACCTGGAGCTGGCCAGACCTCAAACACACCCAGGAAGCCACCCAGACCCCAAATACATCCTAGGGCTAGCCAAACCCCACATTTACCACCTGAGGCTGGCTAGACCCCAAATTTACCCTCTGGGCTGACAAGATGCCATATTTACCAGCCAGTCTCTCCCCAACCTCTCAAATCTGCCCGAAGGGGTGGCTAAACCCCAACATCCACCAATGGGGGTTGGCCGGAACCCAAACACACCAAGGCCTCCCAGACCCCAAATCTCCCCTGGGGCTGTTTGAACCCCACATCTACAACTGTAGGCTTCCAGCACCCCAAATTTGCCACGAAGTCCTTCCCAATCTCTAAATTCACCTCTGGGGCTTCCCAAATCCTGTATCTACTCACAAGGCCTCCCAGACCCTAGGACTAACCCTAAGACTGGCCAAATCTCACTTCCACTACCCAGGCTGGCTGGACCCTAATTTATCACCCTCAGTCCTTCCCGACCTCTAAACTCACCCCTTGAGCTGCCCACACCCCAAATTCATCACTCAGGACTGGACAAACCACAAACCCAGCCACAGGGCCACCCAGACCCCAAATCCACCTCTAGAACTGGCCAAATCTCACTTCTACAACCTAGGTCCAGCTAGGCCCCAATATCCAACACCAGTGGTGGATGGATCCCAAATATATTACCTGCAGTCCCTTCTGACCTCTAAATTTACCCTTGGGGCTCACACCCCAGAGCCACTCCCAGCCCTGGCCAGACTCCAAATTCATCCTGTGGCTACCATCCAACCATGCCAGGACCCCAGGGTGGGCACAGGGTACAGAACCTTCTCACACACAGTGTCCCCTGTCTCTCTGGTCCTGTGTTTCATATGTCTGCTGGCTAAGCAGGCTGGGCTCACCAGAGAAGGACCAGTTCCTTTTGTATTCACTAGGGGCCTGGAATTGGTGGGGCCAGCCTGCAGCCATGACTGCCAGGCAGCCTCGTTCCCAGGGTACAGAGGGTGTGCACAGCCAGTACCCTTCCCACTTGGTACCTACCTGCCACAAAGCGCAGGTCTCATCAGCTTGGGCTTGGAAAAGCAGTGCATCTTCCATTTGCTTCCGAAGGTGCTCCAGTGACTTTTCCAGCTTTGCCTGGAGGTGGGGAGTGGGCAGAGACCAGGAAGAGTCATGAGCCCCTTGCCCAGAACTGGACCTTCCAGGTAGGGCCCTGTGCCCTTGTCACAGAAGTCTATCCTTTTGCACATGATCTCCCATCCAAAGTTCCTCCACAGAGATGACTTTGTGCTCACTGTGGGCAGCACCCCATTCTTGCTGCTACTGATACCCTAGACCTTTCCCCGTATTTATTTGCATTTGTGACTATACTGTCCTTTTTCTTTTTTCTCATATGGGGCCCTCTTTCCAATTATCAGTCCTGCTACTCCACCCCGGGCCCTGCCTGCCTTTGTGAGGGGCTGCCAGCTGCCTGGTTGGGCTCCCTCAAGAGGACATGGTGACCATCTCCCTACCCCTCAGCCAAAAGAGCTCTTCTGGGCCAACTATGATGCTATGATCTGAATGTTTCTCTCCCCTATCGCCAAAACTCACAGGTTGAAATCCCAACTCCTAAGGAGGTAGTGTAAGGAGATAGGCCCTGTGGGAGGTAACTAGGTCATAAGGGTGAAGCCCCCATAAATAGGATTACCAGTTTTATAAAAGGGATCCCAGAGAGACTCTCACCCCTTCTGACTTGTGAAGACACAGTGAAAAGGCACCATCTATGAACCACGGGGTGGGGCCTCACAGACCCTGCCAAGCCTTAATCTTAGACTTCCAGCCTCCGAATAAACTCTGGTTTATGAGGAACCCAGACTAAGGTACTTTGTTATGAAAAAGCCAACAACTTCCAACCCATTTCTTCTCCTAGCCCCTTAGCATCTTGCAGTTTTTAGTTTTATTAGCTATGTAGTAACAAGCCCTGAGACAGGCACAACTGCATTCTGTTTTCTTGGTCCTGAATTCATATTTGCACTTTTGCTCACTTTGTGTGGACCAAGAAAACAGTGGTGAGAATCCCAGAGACAAGCCAACACTATGTGCTTGGGTTGTTCTCCTATATGGGTCAACCTCATATGACACACTTATTGGCTACAGCCCTGTGCTGGCCACCCTGATGGTTGGTTTGGTCATTAAACCATCGCCATCCATGCTCTACCTGGGTGATGTTCAACCATTTCAGCATTGTGCCTTGGCACACTGGTGTGCAGTAAGATGATCTTGGGTATGCCGTGAAAATTTTGAAAGATCATAGATTATTTCTGAAAAAAGTTCAAAGCACAGTAAGTATATTTTCTTTTTTGTTCAACCTAAGTTAAGTGAGTCACGAAATAAAAAAGATGGAAAAACACTTTAGGTGGATCAAGGCTCAAGTCTGCTCAAATGGCAGGGCCAGGATGTGGACCTAGCTCCAGGGTGCCCACACCCACTTTGGCTCACCACCTGGCCTCAAGATGGAGGCACACTGATTGGCACATGGAGGGCACCAAAGGATGTGTCCAACCCTTTCAATGTCCCTGCCCGGGCTCCACTCTTCTGTGGGTTATGGCAGGAGTCCGATGCAGGGTCCTTGGTCCCCTGGTCTCCTCCAGCAAACTAAAGGCTGGCACCTTGTTACCTCATCTGTAGTACCCTTGACCCAGCACCTCTCAACTTTTCCCTGAATGCCTTGGTCTCTCTGCAATGTGTTTCCATTTGCAACAATGTGTTTTATAAGCCAGACTAGGCCATAAAGCACCAAAACAACCCCTGGGATTTGGTTCTGTGCAGCTGTCTCTGCTGGGGCAGAACGGAAATCTTCTTACCCTGGGTGTGGTCAGACACCAGGGCCCTAGTACAGGTCTGGGTTTGCCCCTAGACTCGCCCTTCCCTTCCTCTCATCCTTCAGCAACACCTGCCTCCAGCACACCCTAACTTTCCCTGTTGCTGGTGCCACCTGACACGATCCAGAAACAACTGAGGGTTCTGTCTTCGCTTTCCCACAGGCTGCGTACTTTTCCTGGGCTTCACTGGGGCTTCTCTGTCCACCACCTGGGGGTAATCCCACCTGGGCCTAGTTTATCCATAACCCTGAGTCAAGGCTAGGCAAGCAGTGAACCCATCATAGAGCCAATGGCCCCCAGCTCTGGTGAATAGACAAATAGCCCTGCAGGCAGAACTAAGCTTTCTAAACTAAGGGCAGGTACAGCAGTTTGCTGGGGTATTCCCCAACAATAACCTACAGAAGACCCTAACACAGTGAAGGCAGATAGGATGTGCCACCCCAAAACATGCCATGTTAGAATAGGAATTATTTTTAACTGAAGGCCAAAAAAATTACCTGGCTTTTAGGCAGTCCTCTTACCTGCCTAAAAGCCAGGTAATAATGGCCCATGAAAAAAGGTGACCTTCCTCTACCAGGAAGGGGAGAGTACTTTAATTACCAAAGAGTATGCTTAAACAGACTTTACTAAAGTAAGTTATCTCTCATTAGTACCCCCACTCAAATTTCTTAGTCACTTTCCTATAACTTATCAGCCTTAAAGCCCAAACTCCCTTTCCTATCATCAGTCACTTTCTACAATTCATGAACCTTTGTTAGAAATGGCACTATATGTGAAATTAAAAATATAAATAAAACTGTATGCTCCCCCCCCTCCCGTTAATCTGTCTTTTGCTAGTTTAATTCACAGCTCCCAGGAACTGAACCTAACAGCATAAAGAAAGCTTTTCCCCTCCCCTGCAACAGAAAGGGTTAAATGCTAGCCAATGAGACTTTATTAGGTTGGATCTGGAGCGCTAGTGGGCACTTTCTGCACCCAAAGGGGTGATTGAGATCAGGTATGTAAATCTGCTGTTATGTTTGAGGCAGGGATGTTCCTGCAGGGACAAAGTGAGAAGAAAAACCACAGGTATCTGTGTCTGGATAAGCCCACTTCTGTGGCTCTAAATCTCCTGCCGACTAAAACCCCAAAGTATGGGGTGTTCAGATTTATTCTACTGTCCCACAAGTTTGTTGTATGGATAAGGATAGACTAGCTGAGTAGCGATCATACCACTGGCTAAACTGTAAATCTGATATACTTCTTAGCTGACACTGACATGCTGCAAAAGGCAAGTTCAGAAGATACTGCTGTCTGCTCAAACCCTCAGCCTCAAAGGGCAGACCTGCAGGTCAGTGAGGAAAGTAGACAGCAGGAAGCCGGGTCAGGCCAAGTTGAACTTGTGCCCTGAGGTTCCTTAGCATGGGGATTGCTGTGGTTTTAAGCAGGAAAACAAGGGAAGTGAAGATGGGTTGAGTCCTGCCATATCAGATGGCAGAAGTGGCCCCCACTACCCCACCTAGAAATCCTGGGCAGCCCTGGAGGTGGGTCAAGGAAACAATGACTCTGTCTCTCCCAGCTTGTGACTCCCTCAGGACTTAAGTACTGGCTACCCTGTAGGTCTAGTCCTGCTGACACCCCTCCAAGGCTCAGAAAGAGTACCCACCAAGAGCCCGTCTATAGTTGACCACCTCTGAGGTCCTGGTCCCACGTTCCCGGCTCCTTACTGGCCACGTTTGCCCGATCCCCAGCCCAGACGCCCTTCCACCTATGGTAAGCACCCCTCTCAAACCCTCCAGACCGGGACCCCACTGGCACCCCTCGTCCCAGCCTCGACAAGGGACAGTCTGTGACCTGAGCCCCACAGCAATCCTGTGCGCCATCCCCAGAGAGGTCCAAGACAGGTTGCATAGTTAGCTCCCTTCCTTGGCCTGAGACTGAACCATACCCGGGGACATCCCCAGCCAGCGACCCTCCCCCAAGCCCTGCCCCCGGCCCAGGGTCTAAAGCGCCTCGAGCTCCTGCACCCCGCCCTCCCCCCTTGCCCCGGGCACACCTTGAGATCGTCCGCGGCGTCCTGTAGCGGGCGCACGCGGTGTGTCCAGTGTTCCCCAGAGCGCTCACAGGCCGCGCACAGAAGGCGTAGCTCCTCGCCGCAGAAAGCTGCCAGTGGCTCGCGGTGCGCGGCGCACACGCCCTGCGGGACGGGCGACGGCGGGTGCAGGAGCCGCGCCATCTCGGCCATCTTGGCGAGCGGGCGGTTGGGCCTCAGGTTCCTTTGTGGGGACAGCTCGCGGCACTCGGGACACGCGTATGGGCCCTCAGGCTGGCCCCAGCAGCGCCGGATGCACTCGCGGCAGAAGTTGTGACCGCAGTCCGTCATCACTGGGTCAGTGAAGTAGTCGAGGCAGATGGCACAGGTGGCCTCCTCCTGGAGGTTAGTGGACAGGTCGGGGGCGGCCATGGCGCGGGTCGGGCGAAGGACGGCGGCGCTGTCCGCGTAGTCTGACGGCCGCCACCAAGGCTGCGGGGAGCGCGCGGGGACGCAGGGGATGTGGGGACGTGAGGCGCAGGATTCTGGGGTTGCGGGGGCTCCACGGCGCAGGACTCCGAAGCCGCAGTCTCCGGGGCGCAAGATCAGGAGGTTGTGGGGATTTCGGGTCGCAGGCGGTGGCTCTGGGAACTTGGATTCTGGGCACTCTAGGGATGCAGGTCGCGGGGCTCCCAGATGCCGGCAGGAAGAGGAGCCCAGGCGGAAGCAGGAAGCGACTGGGTGTGCGTGTATGTGGCTTTTTTTTTTTTTTTTTTTGGAACAACCCGCTTTTGCTTTCTATTGGTCACGACTCGTCACGCGGCCCGCGAGAGGGACGGAATTGGAAAGCGTTCACCCGGTGACCCAGCGTGCTTGTCATCTGCGCGCGCACTTGCAGCTGGTCCTGTACCGCGGCAGCGGGTAAGGGTGAGACCGGGCTGGGACCCTGCGGAGGGGAGGAATGAGTGCAGGAGGGAGTGCTGGGAAGGGGTGGGGGTAGGGGGCGGGGCGCTGGAAGACTGGGGCACAGGGAGAACCACGGAGGGTGACAGAGGGCGGGGCTCAGGGCCAGGACCGACCTCAGGAGAAGTTAGGCTCACAGGAAGAATGGGCGGGTGCGACTGGGCGCACTGAAGCGACTGCGAGGACTAAGGGAACCCGAAAGCTGGGGTGCCGTCACCATCACCAGGTGCATCTTTACCCTTCTGCCCGCGCGCTCCAACGCGGATATCCTCGGATGTCCTGGGCCCCGCACAACCTCACCAATTGGGAATTTGGGGTATGGTACGGAGGTTCTCTCCGGGACCAGCTATCAGGTCCAGGCTCTCACTCTGTAGATGCATGTTGCTCCAGAGTGCCCCCTCACTCAGAGACTCTGGCCTTGTAGGTGTAGGAGTACACTGTGGACTTCTGGGGCGCCAGTGACTCTGATTGGGCTGTTAAAGTGCCTGAACCTGGGTGGGGTGGCGGGTTCGCTAGAACAGGGAAAGGTGCTGTAGGAAGGAGAACGGAACCCCTCAAATGATCCTTACCTCTTTTGGATTTTGCCGATGCTGTTTCACTTTAGAGTCAAAGGGGGTGGAGTGTGCAGCTCTTTTCCAGGGTTCAACCCTTACTTTGGAAACCTTTGAGCACCTCTATTTGTCGGCGCACCAGCACGTGGCCCTGAGTACCATTAGACATTGGGGAGGATGCATGGGATTTCTGTAGGACACCTGGAACCATCCTTTACATAGTAACCTATATCTCCCCAAGCCCTGTGCAGTGGCTCACACCAGTAATCCCAGCACTTTGGGAATCCGAGTCAGGAAGACTGCTTGAGGCCAGGAGTTTGAGATCAGCCTGAGCAACCAAGGGTGACCCCGTTTCTTTAAAAAAAAAAAAAAATATATATATATATATATATATATATATATGGAAATTAAAACAAAACAAAACTTCTGTGTAGCTGGAGCTGGGATTCCCAGAGTCAGGGACATTCCTAAGTACAGAGAGAGGACAGTGGCATAGCCATAGAGAATTTGACCATGCTGTGCCTGGTATAAAGGTCTGTATAAAAAAGTGATGGACTAGGAAACAAGGCCTTTGGAAAGGTTCCTCTGTGAAGTATCTGTGAGTGTAGCATCTTAATGTTTGATGACTTTAATCAGAATTATATTTTGGCTTTGAGAAACCAGCCCACACAGTCCATGGCTCTCAAGTCCCAAAGCAGAGAAGCCTGGCAGGTGGCCAGCAGTGAGTAATAGAACCTCACCTTCTGCAGTGCCAGCATCTCCACCCCCACCTGTGTCTCTATCCCTTCACCCACACAGTCACTGTGGAGATGACCATCTGACCAGATTTGGGAGCCCCCAAGCAGAAGAAAGGCTGTAGGGGACCTGGGAAAGCAGCCTGGGAGTAGGTGTGCAGGTGGGACCCATCATTCACGCTATAGAAGGAGAGCTCTCCAGCCTCGAAGTCCAGGAAGATGCCCATGTGGGTGGGTGGCTCAGTCAGTGTCACAGGAGTGGGGGTGGCCATTGTGGTGCACAAGAACTTCTTTCCTTTGGACAGCTGCACCACCCAGAATCCATTTTCGGGGGACTTGGGAACCCTGTCTTTCCGGCTCACGTTGTCTCTGCACACACCCAGGGCCCACAGTGCATCCCCGGTGAGGTTCATGCCCACCTCCCAGTAGTGTCTCCCTGAGGAGAAGGTCTTCTGGCCCACAACACAAGGGTAGGCCACAAATCTGTCCTTGTTGGAAAACTCGCTGCTTTCAGGCAGGGAACTGAGGTAGCGCCTCTGGCGGCTCTCATACAACAGGAGGTAGGGGTACGCTGAGTTGGGGTCAGGCACCACATCCTCTGCAGACAGGCCAGGATGGTGGGGAGACATGGGTGCACTGTTCAGGGCCAAGGGCCAGAGAGAGCCAGAGCCCTAGCAGTGAGGCAGGGTGGAGCAGAGGGTGGCTCATGGCTGAATGATCCATGAACTCCCCAGAATCTAGCCATGAATCTGAGGTTCCCTAATGGTCCTGCACCCCACCTGTATGGGTGCAACATTGGTGTTGATAAGGAAACATGCTGGGGGAGGGGTGTGGGAAGCTATTTGGGAGCTCAGCAAGCTTCATCCAACAAATAGAACCACCAGAGTGAATATCCAGTGACCATCAAAGATGAGGCAGTGCAGTAGGAGGACCCTTCCTAGCCCCAGTTGGCAGTTCTTCCCCAATGTATGGCTTCTGAGGCTGGGGGTTGGGGTGGGACATTACCCAGAATCCAGGGCCAAGAGTTCTGGCCCTGGGCTCTCACTTACCTTGAAAACCTTTTAGCACCTCTATTTCTCCGGGCACTCTGCACACAGTCCTGAGTACCATTGGGGGGACAACCTCTGGGTACTGCACGCTCAAGCTGTTCTTCATCCAGTGGACACAATCTCATTGTCCCCTCTGGCCCTGCCTGGAGCCCTCCCTTACCCACCTTTGCCACCTCCGCCTTGGGTGACCACATACCTGCTCAGCGGGTCCTTGATATTCTGCAAAAGACAGAGGGAGGAGGATGGGTGTAGAAGGGCCAAGCTCTAGGCCCCTCCCCCCCCAAAGTTGTCAGTGCTGCCTCCTGTCAGCTTCCTTGTATTCCCTCCCCAGCAATCAAGTAACATCCTTGCCAGGGTGCTTCTGAGCTTTCTTTGCCACACCAGGCTCCCATGCCCACTGGAGACCTTGGTGCTTAACCTAAGCCCAAGGTCCAGCTGGGCAGTGCAGATGTGAAAGACTGGTTACAGGCTAAAAGGCTCTTCTACCCTTTAAGGCACATTAGCAGGAGACACCAACCTTGTGGAGGATGTGGAAAAATGAGGATGAGGGCTGCAATTCTACTTGGGTCTGGCTTGGGGCCAGAGAAGGGATAGGATAACAGACCAAGCCACCTGGGCATTTTCTGGAGCCTCTTTAGGAGTCTGGAATTCCCAAACACCACTGTTAACATCCCTAGCCTGGGAAGCTATAGGGATTTCTGTTTGCCAGTGACCAATTCTCTAGTTTCTGGAGCAGGATCCTAAGTCTTGGCATGGGAATCTCACCCAGATGACACGCTCAGGCCCCCTGCTCATGACAGCAGCCACCTACCAGCTGCACAGCACTTAAACCAACTCACTGGGTTGTGAGCAAGGCTTTTTTAAATACAGAATCTTGGTGTGTCATCTAGGTAGGAGTGTAGTGGCATCACCATAGCTCACTGCAGCCTTGAACCCCTGGATTCAAGTGATCCTCCCGCCTCAGCCTCTCAAGTAGCTAGGGCTATTCACCACTATACCTGACTATTTAACAATTTTTTTTGTAGAGATGGGATCTTGCAATGTTGTTTAGGCTGGTCTCAAACTCCTGGCTTCATGTGATCCTTCCACTTCAGCCTCCCAAAGTGCTGGGATTATAGGCATGAGACCCCATGCAGCCAGGCTGCTTTATAACAGATGACAAACTATTCAGGGTGAAGGGCATACCTACATGTGTAACTTTGACCCCATCTGTACAAAAATAAAGTATGTAAGTAAAATATCTGAACCCCCTAACATGAAATTAAAAAAAAAAAAAGACTATTACCCAAAGTTAGGGCAACTGATGTATCTATTATCCAGGACAAAACCACAGGGTGTCAGGATTCCATATAGTGACTGCACTATATATGGATATCTGTTGTTGACGTGGTCTGCTTGTGGGACTTTTTTTGGTAGCCTGTGCTAAGACGCAGCCCTTCTCTGTCAGGCTGCATTTGGTCTATGAGCTCATGTCCTCATAGTGAATAGGCGATTTAGACAGGTGTGTGGTGGTGAGCACTGCTGCCCAACCCCAAAGACCCAATCCCTGCTGGCTGTACCTGCAGCATCTGCAGGGGCTCACAATGGCTCAGGTCCTCCAGCTGCAGCAACAACATTTCCAGGGAGTGGCCCTGTTGGGCCAGCAACACCTTGTTCTCCTGAAGCAGAGTGGCTGTCTCCTCCTCCTCCTTCTTCAGGGCCCGAAGAAGCCTGCGCTCTTCTTCCACCAGGAAGAGGCCCACCTTCTCAAACTCCAGCACGATGCGCTCTCTCCGCTTCCTCACCTTGTTCTGCCGGTGTGTGTGTGAGGGGTCACCCCAGATATTGTGAGAGGGTGGCTCAGCGCCGGGATGCCAGCATATCTCCCTCAGGCCCCTGGTGACCCAGAGAAAGCCAGCAACCCCAGCCAGGGCTGGGAGCTTTAGGTGAGGACTGCAACATCTTGTCACTGTGGTGTAACAGTACTCGGAGCCCCAAAGAGCAACCTCCACACATCCAAACATCCATTTAAAAAATAAAAATAAGAACCCTACAAAAAACTAGGATTCCCGGCAACCAATCAAAGGGCTTCAGTTTACCCGAGAAGACACATTATGAAAGTCCCCTCAGCATTAACTCTACCAGGAAAGTCACTCTGAAACAGAAAATTCTCTTTTTGGTTTCTGTTTCTGCTTTCTTCAGCCCTTTCCTGCCTTTATAAAGCCCATATCCTCTGAGTGCTTTTTCTCTCTCCCTCCCCTTTGTCTTTCTTTCCTTTCTTTCTCTTTCTGTCTGTTCATTTTCTCTCTCTCTCTCATCTTTCTTGAGACAAGGTCTCACTCTGTCACCCAAGCTGGAGCGTAGTGGTGAGATCATACCTCACTGCAGCCTCCAACTTCTGGGCTCCAGCCAGCCTCCTGCCTCAGCCTCCCAAGTAGCTGGGACTATAGGTGAGCACTATCACACCTATCTAATTTTTCTATTTTTTGTAGAGATGGGGGGGGTCTCTATGTTGCCTAGGCCAGTCTTAAACTCCTGGACCCCAATGGCCCCAGGTACCTACCTGCCACTCAGCTAAGATCTGCTCCTCCTTGGCCTGCACCTTCCCTGTTTTGGACATCTCCTCCCGAAGGTATTCCATGTCCTTCTCCAACTTCAACTGTGGGATGCAAAAAACCCCCACAGGATTTGGGGTCAGCAATGTCCACATCTCTCACCCAGAATCCAGATTGTGCTCACTGAAGCTGCATTCACCCCAGAGATCCTCTTAAGGAGAGGTGGGTGACCAAAAGACATCACTTGAGATTATTTTCAGCTAAAAGCAATTAAATAACAGGTATAAGAATTGCTCCAACCTTTGCCTTCCTCTACCTAAAAGCAGGAGAGGGGAGAACACCTAACAGGTAGAAGATGCCCTCCCTAGACTAGGAAAAAGTGATGTTTTTAAAACTAAAGGTAGGAAGTCAAAAGCGATCGCAGTCTGTGTATCTCTTGTTTACTTCCTCAGGCCATCATGCTTCTTTGGGTCGTTAGTTCCTTGTTAAGGGTTCTTGAGTCATTTAAAACTTGTATTAAGGGCGGCACCTGTGGCTCAAAGGAGAGGGCGCTGGCCCCATATGCCGGAGGTGGCAGGTTCAAACCCAGCCCCGGCCAAAAACTGCAAAAAAAAATCTTGTATTAAATTAAGTTCAGATGCTCTTTCCCTGTTCATTTGTCTTAAATCAGTTTAATTCTCAAAGGTAGCCTAAAAACCCTAAAAAGGGAGAGATAAGGTTTGCTCCCCCTGAGTTACCTAGGCCATAAAGTCTAGGCTTCCCTTGTCCTCCTGGACATCCCCTGCCCGCCCTGATGTGACCCACCTTGTACCCCTGCACAGCCTCATCCAAGGGCAACGCCCTGTGTAGGCGGTGCTCCTTGGCCTCCCTGCAGACCACACAGATGGGGCTCTGGTCCTCCTCACAGAAGAGCTTGAGGGGCTCCTGGTGCAGTGAACACAAGTCCCGTTTCTGCAGGCCAGGGTGCTGCCGTGCCATCTCAGCCACCTTAGTCAGCAGCCGGTTGGGCCGCAGGTTCCTGTGGGGGGAAGTCTCCCTACACTCGGGGCAAGAGAAGGCGCCCTTCCTCCTCCTGCGCCCCTTCTTGCCCTTGGCCTTCTCCCAGCTCAACTGGATACACTCTCGGCAGAAATTGTGTCCACAAGAGGTCATCACGGGATCGGTGAAGTAGTCCAGGCAGATGGAGCATGTGGCTTCCTCCTTCAGTTTCCTGGCAAGTTCCACGGCGTCCATGGCTCCTAAGGAGACACCAGGCCTCCTGAACCATGAATACCCACCCCTACCATGCTCAGGTTCATGCAGGCCACCCACATAGTGTGCACACTTCCTCTAAGACCTCCCTTTACAGTTGGGGACTAAAACCAGGGTCCAGTTAGGGGGTCATAGCTGTCATTGAGGAGACAAAAAGCCTTCCTGGAAACTGCAAAGACCCTCCCTGGCCACTGTTCTCAGGCCCCTTCAGCCCTGTCTTTGCAGTGCCCTGCTAAGTCACATCCACTGGATATCTGCTGAACTCCTGTCCCCTACAGTTGAGGTCTAAGTGCTTGCCCTGCCTTTCTGGAAATGCCTGTTTGGTCAGTTTAGGGAGAACCTCCTCTTCTAGGAGTCTCTGTCCCTCTTCACCCATTGATGGGCCTGCCTCTGCTGCTGCCACTGCCAGCTAGGATAGAAGATTATCCGGATCTCTCCCCTAGTGCAACACCCCAAGGCTTGAATAAAGAGCCTTCTAACAAATGGTAGAATAATTACTTAAAACTTCTCCATACACCAAAGGAAAAGGAAATGGTCAGAGGAAAAAAGCATTCTTCAATCAAGGAGTGATAGTTCAGAGCAGAAAAGACAAATGTCTATGCGTGCACATGCACTCACACACACAGTACACGTGTGCACAAACAAATGCACACACAAATATACCCATGCATATATTTAGTCGTGTGTACATGTGCACATGCATGTATGAATGCACACAACACAATCACATGTGCACACCCACGCTTACATGCTATGCACAGATGCAGACATACAAATAGGACACAGGCACAGATGTACATACACATAAACACGCATGCACGTGCACAGAGGTATACACATAGACAAGCATCCTGTGCATCTGAACACTTGTGACAGCTCCACAAACTGGAGGCGCACCGCGTTCACCTGTCTGCTTCTCAGGGATGCTAAGGGGACCATCCCAGTTAGAGGGGGGATATGAAAATGTGTCTAAACTCCTAGCATGACCTTTGTCCTCTCATTCTGAAATCCCCTAAAGCTCCGGCGTGTAGGGATTTCCTAGAAGTACCGACTTTGCCTCACGTTAATCTCAAAGCTGCCACATCCCACCCACTTGGTGCCCGTCCTGTCCCTGCCTCTGGGGAGCCCCAGGAGCGCACCGCTGCCCGCCAGGATAGAGCAGAGACAAGGCCTCCGTCCTCTGGGCAGCTAACGCCCTGAATATCCTTCTGTGGATGCGGGGCTCGTCCAGGGGACTCGTGGTCAGTCGGGCCTGCAGTTCCCACGCTGCCCCTGTCCAAGGCCGGCCGGGCGTTGGCGGAGGAAGCCGGACTGGCCGGGTCTGCCTTGTGGAGCCGGAGGCGCCACCGCCCGGCCGCGGGCGGGAGTGGAGGCTGGGGGCTTTGTGGCGTCAGTAGGGGAGGGGACACGAGGGTGGGGCTGGAGGAGGAGTGTAGCCTGCTGGGCGGGCGGGGGGCGCCTTTCTAATGAAGTAGGGGGTTGGCTGGTGGGGGTGGGGAAGTTAGCAGGTGGCGGGAGCAGGGAAGCGTTTACTAGGGGTGGGGTGAGGAGGTTACCTGCTGTCCAGCGAAGAGGGCAAGAGTGGGGAGCAGAGGTGAGCATCGTTGGCGTAGGGCGGGGCTTTCTGGGGAACAGAGGCGAATATCGGGATCTGGGGACAGGAGCCGCTCCACTGGGGTTGGGGATGCCCGGGGCTGGCGAGCCGGGTGCTGGAGGTGGCGGGTGCTAGATTGGCCTCAGCTGGGGGATGAAGAGGCGTTTGGGAGTAAGGGGGAAGTTTTCAGAAGGCGAGGAGGGAGGAAAGGTGGCAGGATCTTCGTGGTGGGGGGGCGGTCTGGGTAGAGGGGTGGTCAGCATTTGGAGAGGAGTGGGGGCGGGCTGGTGAGGACGGCCACCGCGAATGGGGTGGGAGGTGCCAGGGGAGGCTGGCTCCCACTTGGGAGGAAATGCAGAGGGTCGCGAGGGGGCGCGCTGCTAGCCGCTTCTCCGTGGTCTGCGTGTAGTCAGCGTCTAGATCCGAGTCTAGCTTGGAGTCATGAGGAGATAGCGTCCCACGCTCGGGGTGGACCAGGTCCCGGGCGCAGGGAAGGTCCGGTACCCCGGGGTGAAGGAAGGGGTTCTTGCCAGCGCCCCGAGTAGTTTCGGCCAGTATGCCGACCCCCCAATCCTGACCCGGCCCAGTCTAGTGGCTGCGAGTGCTGAGGGTAACGGGTAGGGAGCGGACAGATGGGGAAACTGAGGCTTGGGCCACACGGAGAACCGGCAGCAGCAGCAGCAGCAGAGTTCAGCCATTTCTAAAGCGTGCCGGTGTAGACAGCTGGCCACAGATGTAGACTTCTGTGTAGACGACTGACTTTCCCTGGGCTCCGGGGCTGAAGTATTGTTCCTCCCGAGGTCTCTCCTTGCTGGCTATCACAAGGACTGGGTCTGTGCCCTGGAAGGTGAGGGTTGAGTGTGCGCACACAGACTGGATTAGTGCTAATTCCAGTTTATCCGTCCTGTAGTTTACATCCTTGAAGGAATCCTACGCTGTGGATTTCCTTCAATTTAGAATATAGAATCAAGGATTAGGGAAAAAAATATATTTAATTTCATCTGTAAACCACCCAAATCAACATTTCGCTGTATTTGTCTCTGCCCTGTTGTTTTGTCTTGGCTGAAGTTTTTTTTTTTTTTTTTTTAAAGCAAACCCTGGACAACAGCCGTTTCACCTCTGCAAACTTCATTTGGCCTTTGGTTCATATTCAGATGTCACTGATTACCTCAAAAGTATTCATTGAAGGCCAGCATGGTGACTCACACCTGTAATTCTAACACTCTCGGAGACCTAGGAGGCAGGATCCCTTGAGCTCAATTTGAGACCAACCTGAGCAAAAGCAACACTCTGTCTACTCTGTACTAAAAATAGAAAAATCGCCTGGTTATGGTGGTGTGCACCTGTAGTCCCTGCTCAGGAATCTAAGGTGGAAAGATTGCTTAAGCCCTGGAGTTCTAGGTTGCAGTGAGCTATAATTGCACTACAGCACTCCAGCCTGGGAGATAGCGCAAGACCTGGTCTCAAAATAATAATAATAATAACAACAACAAAAATAAATAAAATGGTTTGTTTGAATCAGGATTTTAACAAGATAACGAGGTCTTTTAACACTTAATATAGTTTATCTTTTATTTTTCTTAATTTTTTTCCTCTTCTTTTTCTTTTTCAGTAATGCTGTTAGGGAGGGCAAACTGGTTTTTCTCTACCTTTCTTTATATTGGCTACAAATTATATTAACATAAGGCAGATTAACAAGAGAAAAACCATTTGCATGGGAGTCTCAGGAAACATGGGACTCAAAGGACAGAGAAGCTACCAGAAAGGCCTAGGAGCTTGAGGCCTCTGGGAGGTGGTGGTGACAAGTTTTGGAAGCTGTGAGGGGAATAACATATAGTGAATAAAGATTGTCATATTTTGCGTAAGAGCAAATTGACCCAGCAGGATAGAATATCCACCTGTCCAGAGGCGGCTTCTTCCCCCAAGACTAGCCCTAGTCTCTTTCCAGTGTGGATATAAAGACTAGCAGGTGAGACCAGGCAAAGGCTATTTACTGAGAGCTCATAGGTACCAAGGGCATCAGACAGCATTACTTGCTTTTGGCAGAGGCTCCAAGGCAGACAAAGTGGGAAAGCTTTTTATTTTTATTTTTTTGAGACAGTCTCACTTTGTCACCCTCGGTAGAGTGCCCAGGTGTCATAGCTCACAGCAACCTAAAACTCTTGAGCTCAAGCGATCTTCTTGCCTCAGCTTCCCAAGTAGCTAGGACTAGAGGCTCCAGCCACAGCTTTTAATGCCCAGCCGTTTTTTCAGAGAGATCTTGGTCTGACTCAGGCTGGTCTCTAACTCCTGAGCTCAGGCACTCCACCTGCCTTGACCTCCCAGAGTGTTAGGATTACAAGCGTGAGCTGCTGAGCCTAGCCTGGGAAAGCCTTTTAGTGTTAAGAAGGGAAGGTTCCCTGTGAGCCCTGATGAAGATCGTGGGCTTCGACTTCAGGAGGCTGAGGCGCCTTATTAGAAATGGGGCATCTCTTGGGATTGGTTAGAGGAGCATATTTGCATTTCTCTTGTTGATCCTAAGGTGGAAGCAGGAGCTAAAATTCAGAAAACAACCAGTTATTAATTAAGATGTGGCCATTCAGGACTGATTATTCCAAGGGTTATTATTTGGCTTTCTGGATTATTGCTAGGGTGTGTGATCTGACTTCCTCCAAGTCTGCCTTATAGCAGACTATTGCTGCTGTCTGGAATTCTGGGGAGGGGGGTTTTGTTGGGGTTTTTTTGTTGTTGTTGTCTGTTTTATTTTTGAGACAGTCTTACTATGTCACCCTTGGTAGAGTGCCGTGGTGTCACAGGTTACAGCAACTTCAAACTCTTGGGGTTAAGTGATTCTCTTGCCTCAGTTTCCCAAGTAGCTGGGACTACAGGCACCCGCCACTATGCCTGGCTACTTTTTGTTGCAGTTGTTCTTGTTGTTTGGCAGGCCCGGGGCCAGATTCGAACCTGCCAGCCCCGGTGTATGTGGCTGGCACCCTAACCACTGTGCTACCGGTGCCGAGCCTGGAATTCTGTTTTTATAGATTATCTGGCCATTGTCCATTTGTACAGGTGACCCCTCAACAATGTGCGAGTTAGGGATGCCAGCCCCTCTCACATGTAATTGTTATATAATATAAGTACCATTATATAATATATTTTGATTCCCCTAAAACTTAATAAGTATCCCTGGAAAAGAACTTAAACTGTAAAATAATTTAAGAGGTTTATTCTGAGCCAAATATGTGCAACCATGGCCCAGAGAACCACGCCCAAGAAGCCTTGAGAAAGTGGTCTCACCATGGTTGGGTTACAGTTTGGTTTTATACATTTTAGGAGACAGAAATTACACATAAAGTTGCAAATCAGTGCATGGAAGGTGTACACTGATTAGGCCCCAAAAGGGCAGAAC